TTTGATTTTCTGGAATCCACAAAATAAGCAAAAAAGTCCTTATTTTGGCAATTTTGGAGGTTTTTGGAAAGCCCAAATTGCCGGAACGAGTTGAATCACCGTGGCAACACTTTTATCTCTATAATTGTCGTTGCCGTGCTTACAATTTGATTTTCAAATATTGAAAGCCAAGCAGAATCTATAGGGGCATGCACTTATCCTGGGCTTGAGGGTTTAGAGTTTTAGGGTTTAGGTTTTAGGGTTTAAGGTTTCTCGAAATTGTTAAGGGTTTGGAGATCAAAATTTTCACTGAAAATTTTAATCGAGTTTTGAGCGAATTTTGACCGATTTTTTTTTTTGATCCATGTTTAAAATTTGCTGGGCTGGGCTGGGCTGGGCTGGGCTGGGCTGGGCTGGGCTGGGCTGGTCTGGTCGGGACCGGGCCGGGCCTGGCCCTGAACCTAAGCCTTGGTTGGGGCCGGGCCCGGGCCCGTGCCTGAGGCTGGGGCGGGGCCTGGGCCGGGCTGCGTGCTTGCGGCGGAACATGAGGAACTTCCAAACGACCTGGTTCCAGCTTCAAGAACGGAGCCAGCCGGATCTGCATCAGTCTTGCGCGTTAAGTTCCACGGTCCACCGCCAAATTCGTTCTTGCCCACGGCCTACACCTTGCTCGAACGGTGAGGGGTTGATCTGATCGACGAAAGCATACAACTCGGCCGGAGTCACAAAGAAGGTGACCACGAGAGGCCGACCGCTCTCCAAGCTACCCGGCAACCATGAAGGGTCTCCGCGGCTGATGCCGGTCAGGCAATCTAGGAGCCCTTAGAAGCCCCTGCCCCACCCGATGCACATGGTGAAGCGAGAAAGGCCACAAAGTCCTGCTGCCGAGATGGACATCTGTCATAATGACACTCTCAAGGCCACAGGCTCTGCAAATATCTGCCCCTCGCTGTGGAATCCACCACGTGCAAGCGATGTCTTCAACGCACGAGGCGTGAACGTGGATGTGGCTTGCGCTTGGCACGACGTCGCCACTTGGCAAGGAAGGCAAGAAGGATGGAAGTGGTACTCGGGCTAACCTTGTCGGGTTTGTTGCCTTCGACATGCGGCCAGGATGCTTCCGAAGTAGCAGCTGCTAAAAGGCCTGTCGTTGCCGTGATCAAATTTTCCTTCACACTCAGCTCCGGAAGTCCGGATGCAAGGATGCAAACGGCACAGAGACCTCAGCCCTGATCCTCTCGCGACCTACTACCGACTTCTGCTGGATCATCTGCAGCAGCACAAGTGCCACCCATTGTCGTTGTTTACTCTTTTTTTGCTATTGCCGTTCTTGGGAATTCCTCTTGCCACGTCCACACTTAAATAGAAAGTCTGCTCCACCGTTCCTTCCTCTGATATTCGGTCTTGCTCTGTTGCAACATACGCGGCAAGATAAACCTGCGGTGTGCCTGAAGCAAAAGTGTACCGCGAAATGTCAAAACACGATCCTCCAAACACTCGTTCAAACTCGCTGGACGCAGAGAGGGCACGATTGTCCCCTGCATGCTCGCATGCTACTGCTGCAATGTGCCTGTTGACCTGCTTGCGAGATTCTGCATATCAACCACAGCTGGCCTTGCTTATGTCACAGGATGCACGTTCGGCAGCGTCTGATTTTTTCGGCAGCTGGAAGCTCCTCAAACTCCCGAAAATTGTGCACAGGGCAGAGGAAAGTTGCCTAGAGCGTCTCGGTTGAGCGCGGTCTTAATGCCTTGCTAGTGCCACAAACAAACCCACAAGGAAGACCACGGTCCATGATAAACACTGAGAGGCTGAGATCAGAAACACAACAAACTCGAGAGCGCTGTTCAATTCCATGGCCATCAGATTCATCTACGCTCTCGCGACTCGGATTCATGTACAAAATGACGGCAGAATGGCGAACACAAACATGACTCAGCGGCAATCGCGAGACAAGTCAAGAGCAAAACACAATGAGGGCGGCTTCGTGGGTAGACAGGGCATCAACATGCAGATCAATTGCGGGACTGATCACGAATTCATTAACCTGCTTGAACGTGGGTTCCGAAACTTTGGTGTAAACGGACTGTGGAATCGTGCATGACTTCAGAAGACGTCAGCACGCACTGGCAACAAATGCTCTACGATTCCCGCATGAATCCGTTCTTCCATCATGCACACGACACTGCATCATGCTTTGCACGAGTGCTGCACCACCGTCCTTCTACAACTCGATCAGCAGTACAGGAATGGGCTTTCGTGTTAAGTGCACATAGGCTTGAACAGGATCATGCTACAGGGAGTCACTTTTTGAATTTGGACAGATGGGATAAGCAAGGGCGAGATGCAGAAAACTGCAGGTGTGTTGGCGCACCGGTGACGCAAAAACTCTGTAACAAGTCACCTGCTGTCGCAATATCATACAGACGAGTTCGCATGTTGAGAATGGACAAAATGATGTTAGAAATGCAGCCGACGTATCTGCGTTTTTCTCCGTGTATATGTTACGGTTGTTAAAGTCGGAGCCAAGTTTAGAATTTGGAGCATCGAAAACATCGGTATACTGACTCGCGGCTGCTCTCCTCCGCACCATGTATCTTGCTACGAGCCTGTACACGTAAACGCACAACCTGTCCTTTCAGATGTTGGAATGCTTGTCATCATTCCGCTAACATGCAACTATCGATGAGCCATGCTGGGAGACTCTGATTTTCAGAAGGCCCGAGCTGGGCAAACAATCGGACACCTGTGCACAGAGGGGCTCACGAGAGAGTTCCTTGCGCCGTCATCGCAATCTCAAAGCTGGCTGCCTCATCAAGCTGCGGATTAGAAAGCTGTCTCAAACTTACGGCCAGTAGCGGGTCTGAGTCGTTCCAAAATGCACATGAGGCTTTCTGAACGAGACTGAGACGGGGACCATGTTGAGGATGTCAACTCGGGCCGCTCGACCGGCAGCAGCCCGGGTGGAGGCCGTACCATTGCCTGTACCGTGTAATGCCGTGTAACCCACCCAATTTCTAAAAACAGGATTTCAACGAGAAATCCATACTATGCAGCAAACAGGAGTCTACCCGCCCCCAAACATTCTGATCATCACGATCTCCGACAATACCGTGTTTCTCTCGCAAGGGCGCATGCAAATTTCAATGCAAGCAGTAGCAGTAGCAGTAGCAGTAGCAGTAGGAGTAGGAGTAGGAGTAGGAGTAGTAGTGGTAGTAGTAGTAGTAGTAGTAATAATAATAATACTAGCAGTAGCAGTAGCAGTAGCAGTAGCAGTAGTAGTAGTAGTAGTAGTAGTAGTAGTAATAGTAGTAGTGGCAGCAGTGGTGCTGGTAGTAGTAGTAGTAGTAGTAGTAGTAGTAGTAGCAGTAGTAGTAGTAGTAGTAGTAGTAGTAGTAGTAGTAGTAAGTAGTAGTAGTCGTCGT